TCCAAACACGAATCCAATTACCAGCGGCAGTCAGGCAATTGAACAGCTACAGAAGAAATACTCTAAAAGACAGAGGGGGAGGGAAGTAGGGGGAGGAGTGGGGAGAGGACTGTGATTGGTGTGGTAATCAAGAAGAGAAGGTCAATTGTAATAGAACAGGCTGGTTTAGAAGACAAAGCTAGTGCAGGATGCCTTCCACTCTGTTGAGGGATGCTATCAACAGATCTGCTGCTTTCATTACAAAAAACGTCACTAACTGACAAGCTGAATATAGGCAGGGAAAGAAGGGCTTTTGATGGATCAGGTGATTAAAACCCAGACTGCAGACGAGCAATTAACAAACGCCAAACTGATGACCTGTACAGGAACTTCAGTATGTGAGGGGAGGAATGGGAAAGGTGCAGCAGTGAGCACACACACATGCAGCTGGTTTTGATTGATGACACTGAATAGGCTTTTATGTGTTTTCTACTCCTGTGAGCGACTGAATAGAAACACCAAAAATGCCCATTGTCCCCAGAAAGCACATGGTTTCGTTAACACTTTTATTGGGATTTAAGCAGCCAGCATTCTGCTTTTCTAGAGGCAGCAGGACTAGAAATGAATACCTATTGATCACCCTTTTATGATGACTGTGTGCAATAGCTGTTCAGAGCCTGGTTTGAAGTGTCTGCTGTGTCAGTGCACAAATGCACCCATTATACATTTCAGCTGCTCATTTACTGACAGCAGCCTGGGCAGCTGACACCAACATTCCCAGAAAATTGCTTACTTTTTTATCCCTTCCTCATCTCACAAGATGAGGACTTTTGAAAAATCTGAGGGTATACTTTCTGCTAGGATTGCAATATATCAGCTAAGTCTTCAAGTGCGTTTCCCCAGCCTACAGATGAGCCTATAAATCAGAAAGAAAAAGGTTTTGGATACTTAATGTTTGTTTTACTGCTGTTTGCATAATGTTATATGTGATTCTTGAGATACGGCAAATGAGCTAATACTTTCATCGGTTTTAAATACTGGCACTTATCAATTACAAGAATTGATTGCCACAAAGCTTCTAGAAAAGTGAAAATTCAATTTATGCTTGAAAGAAATGCTATGGATTTCTTCAACTGTTTCTGAGATTTTAATCATGTTATTTGTTCCATATAAGGTGCTAGACTACAACTTTTAAGGAGAAAATACGAAAACCTACAGGCTTGGTTGGAAACATCTCTATTTTCATTTCAAAAGAACCAGCTTTTAAAAAATTGGGGCATCAGAAGTTATGGCGAAATGTCAAAAGCTATTTATTCTATAAAAGCATATGGTGTTAATGTATCCATCAGTGCTGATAAATCCATCATGGCTTAATCTGTTGTGCTCAGTGTGGTAACAGGACAAGAAACAGCCATCTGCTTACCGTATTTGATTGCTGTTTCTTTGCACAAATACAGTCCTGCTTCCAGCACTTAAGAGTGATTAGCTGTAACTTATGGAGCTCGCTGTGACATACCCACTGAGTAATTACTGGAGAAAGCAATCGCAAGAGCATATGAACAGGGGGCCAAATTGTTAGCGGCTCCATTTGTGACAAGTTTAAGGTCTAACAAATCTCCCTCCACGTGTGCCATAAGGGAAAGGAGAAAGGGCAGAGCACAATCTGTAAAGGACGGGGATGTCTGTTACAGATATTTTCCAAAGCCTGCTCCGCAAAAGCTTGAAAAGTCTGATTTCCTAGCCCTCCAAGCCCCCAAGGCAAAACAGTCCTTGATTAAAAAGGGGGAAAAAATTTAATTGCTCTTTCTTTCACATTCCTATCTCAGTAATTTATTTTTCCAGTAGTTGCACAGGCTCGGGGATAGGGGGCTTTGTGCTGTGACTCCCCTCATCGGGCAGTCACAGTGGTGGGTGCAGACACGACAAAAGCTTCTGTCCCAATGCCTTAATAGGTTATTTTATTTAGTGTGTTAAAAGGGGCTAGTTCTCCAAAGTCTTTCTTGAAATTACTCCTTCGGAGAGACCTACTCTCAAAATTGAACCTCCCTGCATCCCTACCCTGTCTTGGAATTTTCCTCACCCAAATGTTTGTTTATAGAGGGGCAGATTAAATGTGCAATGAAAGAAAATCGATTTAGCAGAACAAAGATATTCAGACTCCAAGCACCAGTTCTGTCCTATTTTAAGGTCTTAAGTGGGATTTGAGGTTTTCTCAGAACTACTTATGGTATTTTGAGCAATTTTCTTTTTGATTAGCTGTAGCTAGTACCTTTTTCCTTTTGTAGCATTTTACTACCTACTCTGACCAAAAACCCCAGATCTCCTCCTTTCCCCTCTTCCTTTCGCTCTAAGGGATAATTAAAATGAAACTTCATATTGCCTGCCACTGGGATTTCCTCCAAAAAGAAAAGGCTTAACCGTGACTTTAGAGCCTGACATAAAAATGGACTTATTTGGGATGCATGATGTAGCTTTTTGAAGTGCTTTGGGACACATGAGAGATTCTGCATCTCACACAACTAACAACAGGTAGCACACACTCAAACCAGGAAAAAAGAAAACACCAAGAGTTGCAGTGAGTTTTGCCACTGGCAAGGAGATGGAGCTTTTCACATTAAAAGAAATACTTACGATTTCCATTCCAGAGGAATTTTCTCTGGTTGCTCATTTGTAGCCAGACAAGACCCTGTGTGTGTGGGACGGTCTGTGTGGGGATGTGTCTCAGCCTGAGAGCAGCCTCTCAGGTGTCCTCATTCAAAAAGGCAAGAACTATTGCCCTTTTTGTAATGTGGACATTTCAAAATGACAAGGTAAAACTGAGCAGGAGTTCTGGTGGCAGAATTCATGTGTGATGGTTTCCCCAAACGCATCCTCATTCTGCCTTCTGGGAAGCTCTTTTCATTCCAAGTAGCTGAATTTTCTTTCCATGCCATGACTTGTTGCAGCGCTAATTACATCTTTGCTTTAAGAGCTGGAATCACCAATACAGAGTAATTGTGTTGTTCTTTACCTTGACTGAGAAATGGTGACTTTTGTTTGCTGCTGTTGACTGGATTTGTGCCAGAGCCATACAGAAAATTAAATATTATATATCTCCCATATAACCCTGGCTAGTTTAGATTCAAAGTAATTGCTTCTAGAGTAATTGATTTACATCTACAGCCAATATTTCTGTGTGGCTTTTGTTGTTTTAATTATCTAATGATCCGATTGTGCAAGCAATACAGGATAAAGACTTCATGTTTATTTCATTTTGCATCACAGAAAGTCAACAATTTGAGAAGCGGGGGTTCGCAGTCCAACTTACAAAGGGCCTTTTAACCTGGACATCTATTCGACCTGCACAACTCAACCCTCACATGACATTTTTATATACAAACATTACATGTAAGAAACATCCTCTATTGTGCTGCAAGTAAATACCTAATGTCCCCATTTTATATGTGATCATAGGATTTGCTTTTTATCAAGGGAATAGATTTGTTCATTGTTTTGTTTTCTCAATCAAGATTGAGAAAAGACTGCCTGAGTTTGTGTTGTTTTTTGTTGTTTGTTTTTTTTTTTTTTAATTGGTTGGTTGGGATTTTTTTGTGTTTTGTTTTTTGTTTCATTTTGGTTTGTTTGGTTTGGTTTTCTTTGGATTATTTGTTCTAAATTTGTTTGTTTTATTTATTTTCTTTTTTTTTCTTTTCCCTAGTAATACTGTGATTTGATGTCGTTTGACTGTGCCTGTTTTCAAAGTCTGACTACAGCATTTGAGGACATAGGAATCAGTTCTCAGCTAACTACTTTAGCTAGTTTGTTATTAATTTGCGATGCAACCTCTTCCAATCTAGTAAATTTGTGTCTATGCCATGCCAATGACAGTGAAAAATTAAGTAGGAAGGACTTAGGAGCTATGGAAGCATGAAAGATGATGCTACAGTTTTATTCCACAATTGCTGGCTGAATTCATTAGAATCACTCTTTAACACACATTTCAGGAAGGGATTGACAAGGCATTTGTTCCCACCAATATCCTAAGTAATCTTTCTTTTGTTGCTACAAGGGGAGAATGAGAATAAAATGCTGAGAATTTTGCACCACTGGAGGATGTTTGTGGGTAAGATTCAGTATGTGGTTGTCAGAGTCACTGAATTTCATCTGATTCCTTCAGATTATGTTTCTGTTAAATTAGAGATTTGGTGCTATTTTCCCCCTTTGTGTCTTTCTCCCTCTCTCTCACATGCTGCAGGTTTTTGTTGCTTACACAGGAAGAAGGATCCAGGTGTAGTTTACACCAATATCGGACCTTTCAAAGTGACCCAGTGCAGGTTTTCCAGGGACGCCATATAACCTTACTGCTATTTAATTTATTTGGCCTTTTAAGTAGCTGTTGTAAGTTACTTTCACCAAACTATCCTATATAGTGCCCCTGCCTGATAATTACAACCGTATTATTATTATTTTGGTAAATATTATTTTTTGTGTTGTTTTCCATGGCTATATATTGTACATATTGTTTTATAACCTTACAAACTGCTTCAGTGATTGTAAAATCCTTGAGACTTAGAGTCTGAAATAGAGTCACACTGTGCTTTTGAAAAAGTTATTCTCTTTCCATAGTCATTTGTCAGGTAATCGATTTAAAGGCCTTCTATACTACCCTTTAAATGTGTAAGCGTAATTCCTATAAGCATTAATAGGATTTACATTTCCTATTCACCAGAGACCATATTCTTTAACTTGCTTCTTTCTTTCAATACACAGGTAACAGCAATCAGGCATAGAGTAAAATACTACAGTATATTTGCAAATATTTTCAATATTTGATTTTAAGAACTTTACCTTCAGATTTATTTGAGTCTGAGAAGCATAAAAACACAAAGGCATTGTTTTGATCTCATCTCTTTCTTGATAACATGGCACTCTCTCTAAGTTTTATTTCATAACTAATACATTTAGAGAGACAGAAAGCTGACTCTTCGTATTGATTACCCACCCCAGGGAAAAGGAGTCAGTGGATTAAGATTCTGACGTGGGAATCCAGGGTCATTCCTGAGGAAGCTGCTGTTAAAGCAACCATCCAGGCAAATTAGAGGATGGCAAATTAAGTGGAGAGATGGGAAGGGTGGCATCCAGAGAACGGTGAGTAAGCAAAGAACTGCAAACCAAACTCAGAAACCTGTGAGCACACTGAAAACAAAACCCCAGCAGTTTTAAGGAGAAAAATTTTGAAACACATTCTTAAAAATCCTGGATTAAAGAGAATTAATTTCCCCCTCCAGCAAGTGGGCACATTGTACATATTTCTGCTGTCTTACCTTGATGCTGAAATTTGCCCTGACATCTGGAGCCTACTGCAGTATTCAGATTTTAGTATTTAAAAAAGAGAAAAATTTTTCCATTGTGAGGAAAATCTTTTGAGTTCCAGCCTCACTTTTGCATAGGCTGGGGGTTCCTGAGGAGGACTGAACTTTAGCAGATATTCGGGACAGTGTGTGCGGGAGTAAAGAACAAGGGGAGCTCAGGTGCTATTAAAATTGTACAGAGACAATGTTCAGACTTCAGCAACGCTCTCACACACACAGCACTGACAACTTTCTAGAGACTCTATTTAGTAAAATACACTTGCAGGGTTATCAGAACTTCAGAACCTGCCAACACAAAACCACTGAAAGCCATAGTGTTTTTGTAGCATAACAATTTCACAGTCATTTTCAGCCACGTTTACTTGATATCATATATGGTTATTTAAGAGCAGCTTACTTTTCTTTTGGTGCACAGAGGTAAAAAAAAGAAAAGGTATTTTCTAGCTGGTTTTCTATCCTTGCCTCAGAGCTTGACTGATCATTTCTTTCATCAGGGGTCATCTGTGCTTCTAAAAATGAAACCTGTGTGGCCGTTGTTTGTTCAGTTGTTGCATATTAGCTCCTCAGTGGTTAAAAAGATCTGAACAAATAAGAGGGCTTACCCTACATTATATTACCCTTTATTAGTAGGAAATTGAAGTCTAGAGATTATTATTAAGCTTCAGCCACCGAAGGCTACCCATACACCGATAAAGACCCCTCGAGCTGACCCTTGATCAAGCTGCATTAGAGGGATTTTACCCTTGTTACTAATTAAATAAACAGTTCTGATGGTATTATTCTTCCTCATAACCATTCCATGACATCAGCTCTCTGGGCACTCCCAGACAAAGAGAATCAGGTTCCTTTTGGAGCCTCGGTGGTGTATTTAGGGCCTGACACTGGGCCATCCCTGGCCTGCCTGCCCTGTTATGTTTAACACACGGGTGGATCGTGTGTCAAAGGGCTTCTCATTGAAGTTTGGGCAGAATAAGGACAAGGTTTCCAATCAAATAGAAACTTTGCGGATTTTGTTTTCCAAATGGAAAAAAAAAAGCAATTTAATTTTTGCCTTGGTGTGCCAGAAAATACAGAAGGAAACAGCTTGATAAGTCTGAGAAGCCCAGACATCTAAAAAGAGGGTATTTGGGTAACTTTGGTGCCTTTCCACTGCTGAACTCAGATTTTTGCTAAGAATGCATCTTTACAGACACATTTCTTCACTTCAGGGTAGGAATAAGGTTAAGAACTCTTTAATTTTTACTCTGTTTTGAATGGAAATTTCATTTTGAAGGGCATAATCTCTCTGCCAATGTCACCTAAAAGCAAATAAATTCCAAGCAGAGTATTTATTATTTTCTGGAACAAATAGTCATCTCAACTTTAAACAGATAGAGTTCACTGGAAAGAAAATAGAGATGGATCTGGGGTTTATTTTGTTTTTCTGATTTTGTCTGTGTGAAGGAAGCCCTGAGGTTTACACAGAGCTATGGTCAAACCAGAAGGTCCAGTCTGGATAACAGAAATTCTTGTCACTCAGGATGACATAAAGGATCACCTCATCCCTCCACTCTGGACTCCACTGCCTTCCAGTCCTGAATATGGAGAACATATGAGGAGGAGCCAGAATCCGTGTTCACATAATCAAAATAAATAATCAGCTTTTTCCAGCATAATCAATTTTTTTTTTTTTTGTTCTTTGGTACAGTGTGCTCTTGGAGAAGACATACGGGCCAGAGCCTTGGTTCTCCAACTAATAAGGATCTTCAAGATTTCAGCTTCAAGAAGAAATAAAGAGAAAGTAAAGATAAAAGAAGTCCTAATTTAGCTAATAAAGAAGGTGCCATTAGTTATTTTTTTTTGGTTGCTTCACAAATCAAATATCTTTATGACTTAAGTGAAATGAATCTTATCTGAATTGGAATATTTTCAAATAAAAAATTGTTTAATTCAAATGTTAAAATTTCTGGCAACAAAAAAACCTGCTTCCAGTTTTTGGCAATTTGTTCCTGTTGCTAATTCTCCTCAACATAAAAGGATTTGTTGCCTATCCTATACTTCTTTTTTTTAATTAGGGTTCGCTAATTATTTTTCTTATGCTTTTTAATTAATTAGTTAATCAACATCCTCATCAGCAGGGCACCGTCCTGCAGTATCATCCAGCCAGGCCTTGTCTGGCAGGAGGGCTCAGCTCTGCCTGGATGGTGGTCAGTTCCAGTCCGGTCTCACCCACCCTGACACCTCCTTTTGCAATCATCTATGGCAAGAGAGAGGGCAGACCCTGCTCTCCGTCTTCCAGAATATATATTTTTATTAGCCTTTAAATTTAAAGGCTCGCAAAATGTATTTTTCAAAGCAGCTGGCACCGCTTAGGAGTTGTAACATTTTAAAATTCTCGGTGAAAGATGGATTTGTTGGAAAATTACTAACAATCTATAAATCTTCATAAAACCAGGATCAATTCTGAAGTAACTCTGTTTATTTTATTGCTCATCTGTGTCACGGTAGCTCTTGATGACACAGAAACTTGAAGTGCAAGACAAATTTTGTTTGTCAAACCCTATAAATTGTCATTAGCAGTGCTTGGAAATTTTTCTTTGAAGTGCCTTCTACTAGAAAATGAAATCTTGTGGGAAGCAAAGCATTTTGTAGAAAAGTCAAATAAGATCACTTTTTTTTTTTTTAGGAGAATGGCTAAAACAGGCAATCTTGAAGTTGTTTTATTTGTATTTCTGTAATAAATTTTTTTCTTCAATTTTTTGTTACCGTTTTTATAACATGTTGTTTTATTAAGGCTTAAAAATTTAATAAGGGGTTTTTCATTTCATAAAAGCTAAATTTGTGTCTATTATAAATGCATTTTTAACTTTTTTGTCTGGATTATTGCAGGCTCTCTGCAGGGACCAGTCGTGCTATGCTGCGTGTGAGATTGTTCCTCCTGCAGCTTCCTCACAGTTTTCAAGAGGCAAAACAAGCTTCAGACATGAGAATATAAATTCCCTTATGGATAATGTATGGGGAAATTAAGGTTATACTGGAGATCACAGGAAATCTACAGGTATCAGCCCAGGTTTTGCTCTGTTGCAGTTCCATTTTTAACTCTATTTACAACCTTCCTCTGGGAGGTGGTGTACCTACACATCCTTTGAGACAGAATTGTTTGTTTTCAATTTTCATTTGATCATTCATCTGTTTTTTGTTTTTTTCTTCTTCTTTTTCTTCTAAGATAAGGATTTCTACAGAAGAACCAGCATTTACTCATTGATAATTACCAGAATTTGGTATCTGAGATACCAGTGCAATGATTTCATGGTATGCAAGTTGCCCTTTGAATAGCAACTGTCATAATCAGGTAGGGATAAAAGTGAGACAAGACAGGAAAATGCCTTCTCCAGAGGCATCACATTTTAACAAGGATCATCAGTCTGTATTTTTCACTAGCTTAAAACTGAGCACATAGATTATGTCGGATGAGGACATAAATTCTTGCTCCGTGCTATACTGTGTCATAGGATAATGTCATGCAGTTTATACTTACATCCTATAAATGTCAGACTCTGTCACAGTGGAGAAGAGAAGTTGCCTTGTCCCAGGCTAGCCTGAACCTTCCTTTCTTTCTTTTTTTTTTTTTTTTTTTTTTTTAATTCTCTTTTCTCTTTGCTGGAGAAGAAAACCCCCTGCACAGGGTGACCTCACAGCCCAAGTGGAATGTGCATGTAGGACACATCCCACGTTCTGCTCCTGGGAAATTTGGTGCCCTCCATGTAAATCCCTGCTTGAAATACAGCTGGGCTGTGAGCTGACGTGACTGATGAAATGTTGTGAAGCCAGAATGAATCACAACAAGGTAGTTATAAGGGACGGGAGAGTGTAAATAAATCAAAGCAGAGATATTAAAGCAATCTTTTAACCCTAACATTTCAGAGAAAGTGAAAGAGGTGCAGAACAATATTGGAATAGTTTTTCTGAGTTTTCTGTGTGTCTGTTGTTAAGAAGTCCTCCAGGAAATCCTCCAAAAAAGAGCACATTCTCTTTGGAAGAGCTCAGAAGTGCTTTTCTAGAACATTAGTGCTGGGTTCACACATTCAGTATAAAGTAACATTTGCTGTATTTCTTATGAATGGGAGAAATCTCTTTTCCTAAGATTTTCTCATAGGAATGGAGTCTACTGGAAATAGGAATTGAACAGTTGTATATAATTACAGAGATTTTATTAAGTGTGAAGAAATAAGTTGTTTGGTTTTGGATCTGGATCCTTCAACCTCTAATCCAGGAGAAAGCTCATTGCAGTTCTTCAGGTTTGATTTACAGTTCTGTATTACTTTAGGTTAAGGCTCTGTCCTGCTTAACTGCTGCACTTTGAAAAGCACAAGGTATGGAAAAAATAAGCAAGCACACAAGTCACATTTATAGCAGTTACACAAATATGTTGTTTTACTTGACTGAGTATCTCAAAAGCAACAACAGTTCTGACTATCTCCTGTATCCTCATGCTGTGTTAGGTCAGTAAATGTCTTACATTTCCTTTTACTTTTCAGCTTGTTTGAGAACCTATGTCCAAATATAGCAGACAGACTTAAAACTACAGGACTTTGCTATAAAGGCAGGTGTTTGTTGATTTATATACATATAAAAATATATATGCCTGTGTTTCTCCAGGCAGCATGCATGGGTGGTTGGCAGGGGCTTTTTAATAGCTTCAATATCTTCATCTATGTTTTCTTCTTATCCTTCAGATACTGAACTTTTGCTTTTATCTGCTTTATCCTGTAATGAGATTGGCTTTTGCCATCTGTTAATTTGAGTCCATTTCCAGCTAAATCATTTGCGGAAAGAATTTGGGTCTCACCACCTTGGATTTTAGGAGAAATTCAAAGAGAGAATTTGCATTAGTTGTGTTGCTGTTTCCTTCCCTGCAGGGCTGGCCTTATAATTTCTTCTTTGCAGGAAATGTTCAGTGATTTTGTTGTACCTTTTTAGCTCTTTGGAACAACAATGAAAAAAAATTATATTTTGTAAATACAATAAACAGACTTTCCAGAGGAGATGATTTAGGTTTCCTTTCCAAGATCAGATGTTGACTTCAACCCAAGAGGCTTAAAAAGGCCTATGGATTTTATGCAACATTTTCAGTTATTGAGGTGGGATGATTACCAAGAAACTCAAATAACAGGAGAGAGGAAAGACCTTGCCGTATATAAACTATCCAAAAACTAAGAGTTAGTTTATGATCATGAGGAAACCCATATGTTTTGAGTTACTTTAGTTGCCTGTAACAGTTTGTACGTTATTGGCTTCATTTATTTATTGTGTTGGCCTTGGTGCATTAATGCTTCATAGACCTGTATAGTAAGTGATGATTGACAGATGTTTTAAGGCCCTGATTCAAGAACGTATTTTGGCTCATGTTGATGCCTATTCAGGTGAAAATCAAGTAAGTTAATGCCCTGCCTTGGATGGAGTGAAGCATGTGCTTAAATGCCTTCATGAATCATGATCTGAATAATATTCTCTCAAGGTAAACCAAACACATTCCTTATTTTTTTCACAGTGAAAAAGGTAGATCCTCAGGCTTTGTCATTCTGTTTCTGAGAGACGACTTTGATTTGTACCAAAAAAACTTGCCTGGAAATTACCACTACTGGAAAGAGGACTGAGCAGGAATTTGTGAACAAAACATAAGCAGGAGCAGGAAAATGAATGACTTCCTAATGAAGTTGCTATGGGAATGTCAATAAGCAGAGATGCAAATTAAATGATCTCGTTGGCACTTTTTGTTTCTGTTGTTCTTTGCTCACTGTGTATGGGAAGGAATATATTCAGGGGGTCTTAACGTTGCATCAGTGACTGTCACTGATAAAATGGCAATTAGAGCAGTAGGTCTGCCATGAAAGGAGCAATTTTCTCCTATTCTTAAAATGAGGGATGGAAACACAGTGGTGTCCATTCGGAAGACATACCACAGAGGAAACCTCTCTGCCTGAAAACATGCAGTGCTCTGGGATGCTTGGTAGCAATTTTCAGGTCTGGTCACACCACTGGTGGCAGCCAAGCCTTTCTTTTGACCTGCCATCCATGCCCAGCCTGGAGTGTTTTAATTGCTGGCAGTGGCTTCCCTTTTGTTTTTGTGTATTCCCTCTCTCAGTGTGCCTTCCGTTATGGTTTGTTGGCAGCTCTGAAAAAACTGGTGCTTCCAACAGTGATTCCTTTCACAGGAGCCATGAGAGAGTGCACCTTTAATATTATCTGCAAAGCTATAAAGCAATAGTTATCCCTGGCTGCATGCCAGGGAAGAGGAAGTGACATTTTAAATGGACACTACCGGTGCATCAAGCAGATGCAATTAAAGGGAGGCCGTGACAGCTAATGAAAGGCTGCAGTGGGAAAATTCGAGGTCAGATTTGTTGTTTGCAGGCAAATATACCTGATGGGATATGGGGATACAACTGATTGCAAGTCACAGTGGGAATAAAGAGCTATTGAGTGGCAAAGGCAGCTCTCCCAGGCTGGCATCAGTTAGTCCTTGCCTGGGGAGGCTCATAGGTTAAGCAACAGCATCTGAAGTGCCATCAGCAGTGGCTGGGAATCCTTTGGCTGAGAAAGAAGTTTCTACTGCTTCATGTGGGGAAAACAGCCCCTTGCAGCTCACTTCCAGATGTTAGTTAAAAAAAAAAAACTAAAGGAAAAAAAGGGCACAAAGGCACACAAATGTAAAGGCAGATCAAATCAACCCGACATCTTACCTTCATTGAAAAGGTAAAACTAAAACAACATGTATAAAAAGATCAGTCTTAAAATCCCAGTTAATTGCATTTATACAACTCATATCACTTGGTACTGAATGCTGAAAGTAATTTCTGGAAAAATATTTGTATAAAAATATTAAGGGATCTACACAGACACTTTAACAAAGCCTGTGAGCCAAGTTCTAGTACCTGTGAAGTGAGTGGGGCTTTAAGTGTTGGCCTCAGTGTGACCATGACTTGGATCAGACTGAGTCCCCAGTAATACAGCACTTCATTCAGCAATGTCCTGGCTAGCACAGTCAGTTTTTAACACAGCTATTTTTACAGACATTCCATAAAATTTGATTTTGAGAAAGGCAATAAAATTTCAATCTCAAAATTTAACGTAAAATTTTTCTTCCTATTATGGCCCTTCTGCATTTTTTTTTCAGAATTCTCAAACGCTCCCATTTATACACAATCGTGGGGCAGTGTTGAAAGAGCAAGAGCTACAGGCAGCATTTTCAAAACTTTCAATGCCAAGCTTCTAACACACGGATTGAAGCTGGATTAGCAAAGGTATTTACCAAATATTAGGAATGAAGACTAAGTGTGTTCTGGCATTTTCAAATGCTAACCCAAAGGTCGTGAGTCAGAAATTGACTTTCTTATGAATATTTCGGTGGGTATGTATATGCATTTGCTTATGCATATATGCCTAAAATATATTGATTATCCCTTGTTTACAGTAAGAAAATCCAGAGCAGTTTTAGATGCACAGCTTTGCTGTTTCTTGATGGAGTGGATTAAGCCAGCAGTGATGTTTTTGTTGGCATAAGGTTGGTACTTGCCTTGTGGAGCTGCAGGACCAGCAGATGTTAAACTGTGGGGTTTTGTGAGCTCCTAAAAGAATGGCTTAGAGAAAACCCACAGCCATGACATCCTAAGAATCTTCCATGGTTATATTCACCACTGGTTTGAGTTTTGAATTTTGACACAGCAGTGGCAACTTCAGGAAGCCACCAAAAAAAAATAAAAGAGATAACAATGTTAAAAGCTCATGAAACACAGCCATTGCTAATACAGGTATTGGTTTTAAGACAAGATGTGAAAGAAATTGCAGGTATGTTCTTATTTTCAAACAGCTTAATTCTTCTCAACAGTGGCCTTTTGCTACTGAATTATTTAGGATCACATTGTTTGTTGTGATTAAACAAAGTTCAAATTTAGAAACCAACAAAAAGAAGAGAAACTGAGACTTCAGATAAATGCAGATTTGAGACTGCAATGAATTCTTACCCTGCCTTTTTCCTTTGCTTGTCAAACTCCCATGAGCAGGGCTGGCACTTGGGGAAGGCACTGCTAAGGCTGATGGCTTAGGTGTTTTGGCCTTATTGGTGGCTCC